ATCCCCCTCTAGACTGCTGCTTTTTGTCAACAAAGTGCTGAGTCGGCAAAAACGGCAGACTTTTTTATGCAAATTAAGTGTTTGCATATTTAAATCCCCGCTTCATTTGCAATGTCAACCTACCTAATCTGCATCCCTCTGCCGATAGAGGGATGCAGTCTAGACATACCCTGAGAATTGCCCATGCTGTCCCAGTTTTCAATGTTTCTTTTGACTCTTCTCCCTGGTCTCAATGATTTTGCCTTATCTGCGAGCTTTTTCTTCCTGCCTCCATAGAACCTAGCTTACTGTCCACCTTTTGATAATTTAGCCAGTCAGTAATCCAAAGATTCTCTTCCCCTTCCTTGCTAGGTGGATGCCATCTCTGCTCAGCTGTCTTTCTTCCCAGAACATCACCTGTGCTCCAGAAAGTAGAAGCCCTTCTGAAACTCACCATCCGGGCTACTATGCATTCATCTCCAAGATGCATTGGTCTCCCTACCCTTGATCAGAAGGACCAAAGAGACTGCCCCCAGCATTCCTCAACTCCCTCACCCTTACTCACAGAGCTCTCTATCCACTTCCTCATGGTAACATTCCGGCCCATGTGGATGAACAGCCTGAGGTAGTAGTCATAGGGAGCCATGATCTTCAACCCTCTCTCCATAACAAGTTCCTGTCAGGAAGCACATATCCCAGCTTGCCACACCAGGGAGACAGACGGATGCCTCTGTCCTTCTCAGAAGGAGGTCACTGACCATACTACCCAATGTTTCCTTTTGGGAGTAGTGCCCCAGGGTTCTCCCCAGCTTCCTCTCCTCCAACTTCAGGGGCAATTCTTCATCCCTCCTTGCCACGGCAGTGTAACTGTTCTCCATCACTGTGGTCAGTGGGGTTGGGAGCAGCGATGGAGCACGGCCTGCCTCTGGAAGTAACCAGCAACAGTGTCCAGCGTGTTACGTTTTCAGCAGCTTCAGTAGTTGGGCTGCTGCATTCTGGATCATTTGGGGGCACTCCCTCATTTTAAAGTCAGTGCAGCCATTCCCAAATACAATGAGCTGTAGTCATCCAGACAGATGCCTGGTCTTTCCAATCACCAGTCAGGATGACTACAGCTCGTTATATTTAGGAATGGCTGCACTGACCTTAAAATGAGGGAGCGCCCCCAAATGATCCAGAATGCAGCAGCCCAACTACTGAAGCTGCCAAAAATGTAACACGCTGGACACTGTTGCTGGTTACTTCCAGAGGCAGGCCGTGCTCCATTGCTGCTCCCAACCTCACTGACCACAGTGATGGAGCAAGTGCCTTTTTCTTGCAGTTTTCTTGCCAAGAGCAGATGGAGAAAGGTATACGTGGAAGTTGCACCTATCTGAGCATCCAGAAGCCGTGAGGAATGCAAACTCCCAAGCTACAAACCAATTTGACTCTGTGTAGGCCAGTACTGTGGTGCCAAAACACTTCTCTCTTCCCTCTCAGCCTCAGCTCTGCCTTTGTCTCAACAATCTCCTCTCCACCCACCTTCTTGGCTTGGCCACAGTGCTACCACGGACTGCAAAAAGCAAGAGGCAGGGCTACCCAATATTCCCACCAGAGGCAGAGATTGCTTCAATTTGCTGTGGATGAGGAGAGAGATTCCATGGAGAAATGCTGTGGTAAGAAAAGGGAAGTCACCCATTGCCTCTCCTTCAGAGGTGGTGTCTATATGGCAGCTGGGTGCAAGGTTCCTAATGCGGCAGACGGTCAGGTGCAGTGGGTTAAAAATAGCCAGGTAGCCTAACCTGCTGCCTTTGCTCCCCCTGGCTACACTTAGTCCACCACCTCAAGCAGAGCTATTGCATGCCTCGCTGGCCCCACTGGGTAGTACACTCCTGGCTGTGGTTCTAGGCATGTCCTATATGCAGTGAGGAAGGGTCTTGACTGCTTTCCCACTACTAGGTATTCAAGGGGGGGGGAGGGGGGGATAACTACAGAAATATCTAGCGATATCCCAGTAGATATCCTCCCTCTCTGCGTGCAATATGAGGTCATCGGTCAGCACAAATACTGCCATTGCTGTTCTGTGTTCTGAACTCAAGCCTGACTGGCAGAGATACAGAACCCTGACAGCTGACACGGGTGCTGAAAATGGTTCTTTCCTAGTGTTACATACAGCTGCATGACGAGAGAGGCAGTAGATTAATAGGCCCAGGGACTGCTACCTGAGGACTGATCAAACTCGCTGCATTTTTGGGGGAAGCAAGTGATCTTCCTAAGGGGCATTCAGGCATCTCTGTGGAGGTAGATTCCCAGGTGTTTTTCACAGATACAAAGGGCATAGATCTGAGCTCACCTTTCTGGTCGTGTTTCAAGTCTCTCTTCCTGTGCTCATGTGACAAAGGCTAGAAAAGGGGAGGGATTTTTTCTAACCCTGGGCTCAGTCCCTTGTGTCTGGAGAGCATACCCTGATCCTGCTTGTCAAATAGCTTGACCATTCCTCAGGACATGGAAGCAGCACTACTTTGCAGTTTCAAGATGGCCGCCAAAGTGCTCTCATCACTGGTAAGGAACAGGACTGTGGGAAATTTTTTAGACTTCAAATCTACCTGCTTCTTATACAGATTTTCCACCATTAAAAAACTAAAATTTCCTTCCCTGCTCCTCCATGCACCATAGGTGATCTCAGAACTCAAATGGACTGTGAGTATTTTCCTTTTGGAAAGAGACAGATTCCTGTTTTATTCTAGACAGGTCTTCCCACTGTCATGCCCTTTTGCACAATGCTACTGTACTTTGACTTCTAGCACCAACGTGTTGTCCAATATGATCCCCTCTGGTGCACCTTTCATTATGCTATTAAATACCCATGGCCCCCTTGCAAATAGCCAGTACTTGATGTTCCAACTAATGTGCCGCAGGAGGCTCACATGAACTCTCATTCTTCAAATGTGCCAGCTAAACTTGAAGAGGAGCATAGGGGAGGTCTCCCACCTCGGTATACTCCCGGATCTTCCCGGCCAAAGATCAACTATCTACAGAACTGAAAAATACAGCTGAAGAGCATTTTTTCCCTTCTCTGCACCCCCCCCCCAAACTCCTGCACCCCGACATCCCCAGTCCCCTGCCCCAACTGTACTCAGGCTGCTTCACAATTTTGTGTAAGCCCTTTGTTAACTTATTGGCAGCACATTGCAAAGAATGTACGCTGGTGTATGTAATTCCTTATCCCTCTGAACAGCTGAGTTCTCAGAGATACACCAGGACTAGTCTTCATAATATTAAAACTGCATTTTAAAAAATTTGCTGCATGGACCAAAGCTTGCTCGTCTTACTCACAATTTCTTTGTGGGACTGTTCGCTGGACTAAGGCAAGCAGATTGGTGCTATATACGGAATATCGTTTTAATTCCAACAGAACCTCTTCAAATTGTACCAACGGTAGGGTGTATTTCCTTGTCTGATTCTGTTTAGTCTCAGGTCAGGAGTGTCCTCCACTTGGCAACAGGGGAACACAACACACACCCTGAATAGCAACACACTGGGGGAATGTTTTGTACCCTGGATAGGATCAGCGAGGACTTATTGGTTTGTGCTGTGTCGTAGTGTGCTTGATCATGGTTTTCCTCAAACAGCAAATAAGAAACCAAAATGTTTGTTTACATCCAACCCTCAGAACCCTGCCATTAACCAGAAACATAATGGAAAGGTGATCTTTGCAACACACAAAGCACTGGCAAGTTACTTGGCCCTCGAGGTCCACCTAATTTTGTTCACCTATTTTCAATGTTTTTAAATTTTAAAAGTTAACAGTAAACATGTGCAGCTATAATATTTGCAGCTGATGTTAGGGCCCTAACAGAGGACTTAAATTGCTTCTCTGTTTACACGGACTCTAAAAGCCTGAGCAGCTTTGTCCTTATTTTTCTGTTATGAGGAAGGGGGTCTGAATTTCAGGACGCTGCAGGCTACATTAGACCTTCCAGCATGGGTGTCTGGTACTCTAGGTGGGAAGAGGTCCTGCCTTCCCAAACCACCAGGCTGGCCCCACACACACTCCACCCCCAAAACACCTACTCGAGGCATTCTGGAAGCAGAGTGCCCGTGCCTTCCCTGTGCTCCAGGGCCAGGGAGACTGGGGCTATGTTACGTCCTCCCTCCCCATGGTCCGGAGCCGGGGAGGCTGAGGTCGTACACAACCCGCCCTGCCTGTGGTGCTGTGGGAGAGCAACAGCCTGGCTCCTTTGGGGACCGGGGCCTGGGCAGAAGGGACAGGGATGAGGACTTGCCTCACCCCAGCCTTACCTTCACCCCACCGCCCACGGCTTCCGGCCCCAGTTTGATTACCCCTAATTCTGGTGAGGTACAGTGTGTGCGCATGCCTACATGCATGAAGACAGGCACTAAAATATTGCTTCTAATGGGACTAGCACATGTGCAAGTGCTTTGCTGGTTACTGATGAACTTAAGCCCATTCTAACATGCCATACTGAATTAGACAGTGGTTTGGAGTTCATGCAGTTTTTTTGTTTTTTGAGGTAGCTAATGGGAAAGTCCTAAATTCAGTGACTGACTCAGAACTGCACATGCGCGGCCGCTACCAAACTGTTCATACTGTCTAATGCACACGCAGATCCCATTTGAGGGAGGGTTTTGTCTTAAAAAGAAGTCTCCAAAGTATTAGAAGTTTATGCTGTTTCACTGCACGCTCGATTCCACTAGAGGTCAGCCTGCCACAAACCCCCAAGCAAACACGGGAGCTGCTGCTGCATGCTGGCAGCACTGACATTATTTTCTTTCTCTATTTTATCTATTAAAAAAGATTCCTTCAGAGCCATAACTTAGATCTCATACTAAAATGGAGCAACAGGAAGATATAATGGTGCATTTCATTTATGAATGACCTATAATAAATTACGGTGAAGTATTCCAGGTGCCAAGAGAGAGGCTGCTTTGTCTGCACATGAGCTATATTTCACATACTTTAATTTGGCTGACACATAAAACTCATTTGACATTTTGCAGGTATTTCTTTGAAAGGATATTTGGTTCTTGTTGAGCGTTAAGGTATGGAGGTGAGGTAACCTGGGTAACCGAAGGTCATTTCCGAGGAGATTGTTGTCCAAGATCAACTCTTCTAGGCAACTGAATGTTTTTAGTCCTTCTAGTGACCTGCAAACGACAAAGACAACACGAAAAATGATACTCCATTAAATCAGAGGGGCCATTATGAGCTGAAATAAATATTTTAACCTTCCCTTTCAAGAGTGGGAACAGTTTTGGTTTGGGCCTGTCAGGAGAGTGAATGACAAGAATTAGTGGCCAGGGGAATGCTGGCACGGCAACACATCCTTCACATACTGGCAGGATGAAGGATGGGGGTCACTTAGTGAGTAGCCAGGATCCAAAACAAAAGGCTTCAGATATGGCGCCTGCAGGATGAATTTGTCAATGTCTTGTGCCTTCAGGCACCCAGCCTCGTCTGACCCTAACCTCCATTCCCAAGATAAATAACTCTGTCACAGTTCACCTTCATTCCCTGGACACAAATTTAAGTTGTCATCCATCATTTCTGCCAAGAAATATCATACCCCAATAACAATAATAAATACAACTTCAAGTATCCTTTCTTAGCAGTTACCCTGCATGCGATTATAGGGAAAGCAGAAGGGATTTTTGTTCTTTTTTTATTAACCACTTAATTTGCTTCTGTTTGCGTCTCGGCGGCCAACGTAAAATGCTTCATATCTGCAGAATTGCTCCAGACACAGAAGCCGCAGACTTTGATTTTAAAGCCTCCTGCCCCGAGCCAGGATGTAAACTGCAGAAAGCAGCTTTAAGAGGAAGAACTTTGCAGCATAAAAATGCAGACACCAGAGTTGTGAACAAACACGCATATTGGGGCGGGGGAGGATGGGGGGGTTCACCACCCATTTCGGAAAGTGGAGGAAGATACTGACAAGCTCTGCCAAGGCACTGATTCTGAAGTTAAATCTTAAAAATTCATAGGCTTGCACATTTCTTCAAGGGGGAGGGGGGGCACATTAATCAAGAAAGACAGCATGGTATATTGCCGCAAAGGAACAGTCACACATTCACAGCTCATTCACCTACCAGACACCTAGAGAGATGCTGAGATTGCATGACTTGACAGCTGATCTACGGTGCGGACCAGTGGGAAGATCATCACTGTATCTCCTGGCTGTTTTATAAAATGTGACGAATAAGGGAGATGCAGTCGTCGCTATTTATTCCTTTTCTAATGACATGTATACAAGGGGGATTTTCCCCCTTCCGCACCTCACTGTATTTCGTTTTGGCAAAGAGCCATTTGAAAATAATCTAAGCCCCTTTTAGGGGGATATGGACCGTGTCACTACTGGGGGAACGGAGTCATGGTTAAAGGAAATGCCATTTTTAATACTATGGGTTAATTTAAAGTCCACCAAGTCAACAAAAACCCAGATGCTGCTTCTGCAGATGCATCTGTGCCTCCCCCCGTTGCCATTACGAAGCACAGAAAGAGCATGCAAAAGGAAAATTCTTATGTGGGACGTCAAACCCGCAACCTTCACACTAAAGTTTAAGGGCACCGTGGACTCTGTTATAAATATTCAAAAGTAAAAACCCAGCACTCAAGTACTTAACCAGCACCTTCCGTCTAAGGATCTCCCAGCACTTCAAACACTTACATTGCATTATCTGAGGGAAGTAAAGTTAAGTATCATTAACCCCATTGTACTCCTGGGTAAGGGAGGTACATAGAGGTTAAGTGAATCTGCCCAAAGCAAGTCACTGGCTGGTGTTATAGCTCACCTCTTGCTGGCATAGCTATGCCAATCGGGGCATGATCTCTGACAGACATAGCTGTGTCAGCAAAGCCCCCAAGTGAAAACGTACAGCTTATTGTCTTTATGGCTGTGGAGGAGGGAAGCTTCTAGAAGGAGCTATCCTGGCAAAAGCAGTTTTGCTAGCCTAAAGCTACATTATGCACACTAGGAAGATTTGGTTGGTATAGAGCAGTGTTTCTCAACCAGTGGCACGAGTACCCTTAGGGGTACTCAAGAGAAGTCGAGGGGGGGGGGGCACGTCAGCACAACCGAAATTTGGAGAAAACTGAATTTTTGTTTTAAGTTTTACAGCGCTTTATTATTTTTGTATTTTTTCTATCCAAAAATTTCATCGCCTGCCCAGCTACGATTAAGTTGTTTAAACAAATGTGCTGCAATGGTAGAAAAAAAATGATGCATGCCCAGATCAGGATCCGAACCCAGGTCTGCACCAATGCCTCTGCACAAGTACTAGTAAAGGGAAAGCAAGCGAGAGGAAGTAGGGGCTAATTTATTACACGGTTATGATTTTTAGTTCCGGTTTATTTGACACACCTCATTTGGAAAATCCCCCTTAACCACATTCTATTGTATAAATAGTTAATAGCAAAGTAAATCCAGTCCTCAACTTTTTAAATATAAAGCTTCAGCTTGCCAAAAAGAGTTCAAAATAGACCCCTTCCTTGTCAGCACTACAGAGCCCTATGGGACGCTAATAGATCCTGTGTGAATAAACATTGCTTGGGTTCTGGTCAGTGTCAGCCTCAAAATACACATTGTTCCTGAGTTATGTTATGCAAATAGAATACCCTTATCATGAGAATCAGCAAATGGTTGGCAACTGGCAAGGAGAAGAAAGCATACCTTCAAAACTGCTGCAGGGGAGGCATAAAACAAAATGACAAGGCATGGATTGGGACAAAGGCCCTGGAACACTAGAGGGAGTTGCCTATTGAAATGGCCTCTTTCTAAATCTTAGACGGAGTACAGTGATATGGGCTGCATAGATGAACCGAGAAAATGGTGCGCAAAATCCCCTTACACCTGTCTGGTTTTGATAATTTTTGCCATGTAATGTTATTAACTGCTCGGTTAAAAAGGAGCCGTGTTACACAGGGGGTTGCTTATTAATTATTGTTTTCATGTCAGCGGCATGGCGTGCACTTGGTGATTTAATCAGCTAAATTCAGAGCCTAGGGACAGGGCAAGGATTGCTACAGTGCAGAGAGGGTGACAATTAACATACATTTGCGTCCATATGTTATTTTGCGGTTTGCAGAATTGCCAGCTACCCCTCTACCACCTGCACTAAAGAATCAAAACCTACCTTTGTTTGAAAGTTATTAAGGATAAAAGGAAGGAAGACATTATGTTTGCTACCATGAGGGATATAAGCGATCAAATCTATATAAAAGGTGCAGATGTTTCCTCACGATAAGCTATGAAGGGAATGTTACCTATAGTAGTTATACCCTGCGACTGAAAAGCACAAGCTCCAAATGTGATTTCCAGAGCTGATTTGCCGCTGGAACGTCAAGTCACCCAATCCCTGCATGCCGTGGTTTCTTCACTGCGAGTGGGGACAAAACCTGCCTACCTGATGCAGGTGCGCCGTGAGGCCAAACAGATGTTTAGAACCCATTTTGAGGGGCTTGGTTAACAGGCGCCATAGGAACACCTCACAGGGTATTACCGCTTTAATGGAGGGCCAGAAGGAATCCATGACTTTATTCAAAATGTTTTGTTAACATGAAATAGGCGAAAGAGAATGCAAAACCAGCAGGTATGTCACTGAGAAGAACAGTTTAAAAAACCAACCCCCACCACATCAGGCAGACAGAGAAAGCTGAAGGAATTTTCTGAGAAACAGACACATCTTAAAAAGGAAATTTCGGATGCTTCCTCATAGTTCATAGCAGGGAAGCAACTCCATCGGGGTAAATTAACACATGCAACCTCGCCACTACAATAGAACCAGTAGGTAAGGGGTGATGGCAGCTAGCTCTTTCCCCTAGTTGTTTTAGAAAGCTAATAAGCATCACCCACTTGTATTGCAGGTTGCTTTCCCCCTGCTCTAATGACATGAAAGCTGCCCATTATCTCACCCACAGGTACCATCTCCATTACCTCATTGCAGGGCTCACACTCCGCTCCCAGAGGAGAGCAAGAGCTGCCAGGAGATTTCCATTGCAATTTCCAAAGTCACATCAAAATGACAAAACATCACAATGTATTCAGCTCTGCCTGATGCGCACAGAAAGAACTTTAAGTTTCCACTGTAATTAACCCTATCCTCGTTAAGATAATTATGATCAAGCTCCCTGTCACAGCTAATATCACAGCATCATTGCCTATGGCTCATGCTTTGCCCTCATTAGCTAACAAAAACAGTGCGCTAAACAGGCAACGGACTCCCTCTGCAAAATGACTTCAGATGTTCTGTAACCAGACAGTAAATAATCCTTTACAATACAAAGGTCTCAGCAACGTCCTTTTATCCAAGTCCTTCAGCTAATCAGCCTGATTTCTCCCAGCTCGCTTTTCCATAATTCATTCATGATTTCCAGCAAAGTTTTAATCATAAAGGAATGTCATTTTAGGGATTTTTCTGTGCCTGCCCATGGTAATTGTCGACTATGCTATTTTATACAGCCCCTCTGGCTTGATGTGGAAATGGATTTGGTTACACTGAAATTAAATAGTAACTCCTCTTGTTGGCAATATTTGCTGTGCATCCACAGAATTTTGAGAGGGGGAGAGAAGCAATATTATCTCATCAAAGAATGACCAAACCTCCATATTATGCAGCTGTCCTTGTCCTGAAATAATAGTATGCTCAGAAGTATATTTAAAAGAGAACATGCCTCTCTCTCTTAGCTGTCTATATATGTATATATATATATATATAAAAATAAATAAAAATGACAGCTGACTCATTCCTAATTACTTTTTTCCCCCCTGGTTTAACAGGAAAAAGAGGGGGAAGATTACCATATGTAAATACGAGAGTTTGGCTTTTTCCCTTGAAACTGATTTGTACTCTGGCGACAACAGATAACTTCTGGTAATGGCTAAAACCAGGGTTGTTACAAGAGGAGAGCTCATTTCAATCTCTCCCCCGTTGACTTTCTAATTTTTTAGGAGATGGAAAAAAAAGCAGCAGCACACTAATCATAATTTCAGTATTTAAATTAAAGAAAAGACGACAGATTTGCATTTCTATAGCACCAACTGTCCAAGGATCTTAAAGCATTTTATAAGTGTTAATGTATGAAGCCTCACGAAACTGCTTGGAGGAAGGAGACACCACTATGCAGAGGGAAAAATAAGGCAGAGAGAGAT